CACCAACTGCTCATTTGTTAATAGCTTTTCACTCAGTTGTTGAAATTTGTTTTTCTTTAAAGTTATTGATAGATTAGGATCATAGCTTACTATAGATATGTAAAAAGTCGATAAATCTTAACATTTGAATCAACAGCAATGAATTTTTATTCTTAAAGTCCGAGATGTGTATCGAGCATTTCTTACTTCATTTTTACAACGCCTAAAACAATACAGTTTATTACTAGAATTACAATCAACTTTTTTTTGCGTATCTATAAGAAGCTTAAACTGCTTCAAAAAGAACTATGTTTCATCAACTGTGTGCAAAGTTATTAGCAAATGAGCAGTTCGTGACCGTAACTGTGTATGCCAAGCATGTCTGCAAGCAGCGAGCTGCAGCATCCATAGAAGGAGGAAGAAGCCGCACCGCTATTGATCGGAATCAGTAGCTCGACGCGAGTCGCTGTGGACCATCTATGTCAAGCGCGTCATACTAAAGAGTATAAACAGAGAGATCCCCGCTCAAATTCCTATTCCTACACAAATCAAAAGCTCCTGCTGCAGTTAAAAAATAAGATTTATTATATAAGACCAAGTAGTCCTACGTCACCATTGCGTACAACCCCATAGGGCTGTCCCTTGTAGTTTTTTGATTTTGTGGATGACTTTGAAGAAGTAAGAGGGTCTAAAGGATGACTATTGAACTTTTACCAACATTTTGAGAGGCTGTTATGCAACAACAGGGCGTTTAAGGTGCCTTTAGAATTTTTTTTCGATGACTTTGAAGTATCAGAAGTGCGCTTAATAACACTACAGATCCCCTAAAAAATTTGTTTGGACTGTAACAGCAGGGCGTTTAGGGTGTCGATAGAAACTTGATGATTTTTTTGATGATTTTGACGTAGCAGGTTGTTCTATGCGAGTATTGATCTCTTTTGAAAATTTTGAGACATTGATTTTATAATCTGGAAAAATCTGGACACCATAAAAACGTTGCCATTAAGGCTTTTTCGATTATTTTTTTTTAAATTTTACTGAATCAAGCTAAGAGTGTATAGAATCACAGTAGGCATTGGTTGTAAGAATTATTTCATTTGTTTACATCATGGCTTCACCGGAACAAGCACGTCGCGAAATCGAAATTCCCCCAAAAGTTGTTTGTCTGTTAAGCAATCTGCAGCCGTGGGCTGAAAAGCTAAACTTTCGTTACTTCTGGGACCATGAACCAGCAATTTACCAGAATGAGTGCCTACGGAATGGACTACTGTCTTTTCTGGAGCATCATGAGGCGCATTCTGGTCGGACTTGGACTATTCTGGTCGGACTTGGCAAGCTGCCACTACTCAAATTCCACCAAACAGTGGTACACCGAAAATGGAACTAAGGAATACTGGTCAATTGTGAAGCACATACTGAAGACAAAGGGTGGAAGTGCAATTGACCTGAAGAATTTCAAGCGGAAAGTGAATTTGGCAGCCAAAAATCCTTTAGCTTAAAGTATTAGGATGATTAACATCAGGAGGTCAAATGAGGTGCGAAGTCAAAATCATTGGGCGGCGTATGTCCCCATGACCACCCTTGCACTGGATATCCTGAAATATTATTTTGCTTATGAAAAGCTTCAATATCTACAATATGAGTTTAAGCTAATAACACTAAAAGTGGACGTTTTTCCTCAACAATCTGACGTAATGCTACGTAGTTTGTTGACAACCCCGCAATATTCAAATACAAAAATCGAATTGACTCTCATCCCTGCTCAAATGCAGTATTTCATTTCGTGACCTCGTTGGTATAGCGATGCAGAACGTAAATTTGTTTCTTCGTTAAATCATCGCAATCGAATCAACCCAGTTTCCTTGACTTTCATGTCAAAGTGTAAATCACTACTCAAGCACTTTCATATTGCTGCAATAAATAAAAAAAGAAAACAAATACCACACACACCGCTTGTTTGCATCGAATTGCTTTACAACCGATCAGCTTCAGTTTCGAAAAACTGGACCATACACTGATCTCAATCGATACCACACCATTAACGATTGGTTCAACAATGCCACTCGAGCAAGCCGAACTGAAACGTGAGAAAAACATTTGCTACATCAGTTAGATCATCAAATGCCTGCATTGCTTCAACTTCCCCGTACATCTTCCTTACCTGCATGAACTAAAAATCCACTCACTCCAAGGCACTCAATTTGAAAGTCCATTTCTTCGATTTTGCCCAACTAAACATCCATCGGGCAGCAGCAGGCAGCACAGCCAACGCAAAACAAAAGAATTGCCCCTCGCCCATCGAACGGCGATCCTCCTGTCTCCCCTTCTCGTCTCCCCCCCGGTCGAGGCAATTATTGAGAAAATAGCCCAAAATTCCCCGTTTCTCTCACTTTTGCTTTCAATAGATCCCGGACCTTTTGTCTATCGTCGTCTGTCTACCCGAGTTCCCTCGGGGAGGTTGTACTGCCACACCTCGTCTTCCTGATCGGGCGGCGATCGGCAGTTCGATTTTGGCTTTCATGCGGGCAACACAAAACAGTAAACAGTAATTTTCAACTGCTCACGCCTTTGATCGGCCCCCCGCCATTGAAATTGCAAATAGTACGAAGAGGAGCTTTCAACTGTTCGATTTGGCACTTCTATTATCAACTCTCCGAGAGCCGGTGGCGCCAATTGTTTGTTCAAATTGCGTGTTGTTTTTTATTTGTTTTGGAACCGTGGCTTGGCACAGCAGCGATGAGTGCAGCGATGCAGTGAAAGTGTTATCAATTCTTGTTTGTGTATTTTTTTTGTTTTTAATTTGTGGAGCATCACGCGGAGTGCGAACTGTTGTGGCTAATAAGGTGTTACGTTTTGCGCTGAACTGGGCCGCAAAAGCCGTCCATCGGAGGGGGCTATTATTAAATCATTACGGAGGCCAGTGTGGGGCTACATGTGCATTCGGGCACGGACTGTTATTGTAGTTCATCGATTTGAACTAGAGTGATCGTGATCGTGATCGTGATCGTGAGTACCCATCGCTAGGATTCAACCAACAAGAAAAACTATGGAGGCTATTGAAGTTCAAAGTTTGGCGGATTATTCCGTGATAGAGGAAGAGCCCAACTTCAGTTTCCAGATCGATACCAGCACGTTCAGTACGGAAGATTTCAATTTGTTCATTAGTTCGTTGGAGAAAACCTACTCGGGACGCCAATTGTCTCCGATTGTAGACCAAGAGGATGACGATTCTGAAGAAGATAGCCTGTATGACAGGATAGAGTCCAACAAAGAGAGTAGCATCAGTGACTATGGAGGAACAAGTTCCGAGGATGTGTATTCCACATCGTCATCGTCGCTGGAATCTCTCGTCCGATCGGATGCTTCGAGTAACCCCGTTGTTCAGGAGCAATCAATCATCAGTACTCGACCCAGCTTGATGAATATTTTCACATACTTCGATCAAGAAACTACGGTTATGTCGGGAGATGACTCGTTCAATGACTCCATAGAGGAGCCAATCATCAAAGATTTCCCCAAAATTACGGCACCGATCAAGAGGAAAGTGCCGTCGCCGAAAACGGCGCCCATCCCAAGACAGAGATCGGCAATTAAAAATCCACTCCGAGAGTTGGATAAAAATACACTTGCTGAGCCGCAGCCGGTGACTCCTGGTCGGTTGAACCGAAATCTGCTGAAGATTTTCGAAAGTGAAACTCAGTCCCCCAACAATGCAAGCGCCATGCTGAACCCATCGAAACTTCAAACTCTACAACAACAGCAAATCCCATTACCGCGGAAGGCGCCAATTATCCGCAACAAAATTGACCAACCCGTCGAATCTCAGAAGAAAGTGGATAATGACGCGATCGTCGACCACGACGGTCTGAAGCTTCAGGCGGCCAATGAGACCCCTCCGGTCGAGCCGACCGCCGCCAGGGTGTCGTCCACAGTGAAGATCGTGAACGCCACACGGAAGGTAGACTCTCCGCGTCCGGTCCTTTCGGGTAACCCAAATTCGGCCAAATCCGTCCAGCACCATCGCGATCGTGACAAGTGTTTTGTGCGAAATATCAACGACCTGTTCCTGCACTACCGGACCCAGCAGCTGGAAACGTCGCGTCTCGATCAGCACCAGGTCCATCAAGCAATCCAACAGCTCGACAAGTCGGAATCGTCCGAACACCTCAAACCTATGGAGGATCAACCGGACCCAGCTAAGCCAACTCGCAAGAAGACCCCGGAGGAAACCGCTCAGCAAATTCACTTCCGGCTCCAGAACCAAACCTATCGGGTCCAGATGCGCACCCTAATCGACACGCAAAACTTTGTCCACATGACCGCGGCCAACCGGAATCAACTGTTCCACCTGGACAAAATCTTCAATCGCTCCAGTCTCAGCCTGATCCACATGGTCCTTTCGCTGATCCGCGAGAACGTCATGATGGGTGATCGGGTTTCGGTCGAGCTGCAAACCACCGACTACAACCGCTTTGTCCAGATCATGTCGGAGGGATCGTACGGGATTGATTCGATGGCTACCAGCACAATCCGCGAGAATTGTGTTGCCGTAGAAATCTTAGCCGTCGACGATCCAGCTGCCACCACCACCAACAGCAGCAGCAGCAATTCCATCAAGATCGTCATTATTTTCGTAATTGAAACCAATGACGAGTCGACCCAAAAGAAGCAACTGGACACCAGCGACGACAAAGCGAGCAAGCACCATCTGGCCAGCGACTTTCAGATCATCGTGCGGATGCGATTCGAGGTATGCGATGGGGACAGATTAGATTAGATGATTGGTTACGATCAATTTAACGGTTAGTTTGCGTGTACGTTCCGGGATAGAAGCTCAAAGAAGATGCATGATAATTGGCTCGAATCCAATTGGGTAATTTTAAGTTATTCGAAGCTAATTGCGCGAAACAGATTTAATCCACCTTATTGCATCACAGCGTTTTTCACCTACTTGTTATGTTGCGCCCGAAACGATTCCGATTAACCTTGTTTCGTTTTTTTTTTGCTTTCTCTCATTACAGCCCCCGGAGAATGAGCTCCAGAAATCGCACGAAACCGGAACGAACCTGAGCGAACATCAGCTGCGAGTGCAGGCCTCCCTCCAGCGACTGAACATCCCCGACTGGTACAAACAGTACTCGGGCAAGGATGGTGGTGCCAACAATACCTCCGTGGGCAATGCCTCCGGTGGTGGTGCAGCCGGTGCCGGTGGCATCCTGCGGAAGCGGAACTCGGACGTCGGTCGCTGGACCGGACTCAGTTCGAAAACCACCTCCCTCAGTTCGCTCGGATCGCACCGGTCCGATCGGAGTCCCGTCATGCTGAGTCCCTCGGCGCACAGTCATCACGGCGGTCAGACCGGATTTTCCCGGTGGTCCACGTCGCACCTGAACTCGAACCAAACGTCGCCGAGCGTGTCGACCCGGGGGTCCTTCACGAGGGGAGGACTGAATGCCAGTGTGATTTCCGGTTATTCGACGGCCTCGACGACGGCCGGCGCCACCGGCGTACCGGTCGGTGGCAACAGTGCAATCCGGAACTCGTTCCGACAGCCGTACCTGGGCTGGAGGAGTCAGGAGAAACTTGCGCAGCCACGGACACCCGCCGAAAGGTACGTTTGAATTGGTTTAGTATTTTTTAGATAGATTCCCGGTTTTTGTCTTTCATGCCATGCCAATTGATTCCAAGCCATCTATTGATTTCAAGTCAGCATTTAGACATAGGAATTACGATGAAATTATTTTAATTTCATTTAAATTCATGTAGTGTTAAATTGGGTCCTTACTTGAATTTCAACAATCTTTACTAGCAACCAACAATATCCAAAAATAGAAGAACAGGGGATTTTGCAATCTTTAGAGTGATTTCCCCCAGTACAATATCCATCTGTTTAAGGAAGGGCTATTCATGCAACAATTTGCAAAAAGAAGATTTTTTTCAGCATGGGCCGTAGTTTATCCAACGACAAGTGCTGATTCGGTTTTTCATGCTGAATAAATCTTCTGTTTGCAACGATTTACATGCAACATTTTGACGTAGGACTACGTCTGTGATTTCTATATGGGGGTCCACTTTGTGCAAACTGAAAATGAAACATGTAACGAAATTATGAAAGATTTTGAACGTTAATAACTCAGCGACCTGTCGACCAATTTAAATAATTTTATCATCAATCGATCAGATATATTTCTACGCATCGATAGCATTAATTTTCAACAAGAAACTATAGAAAATTGGTAAATATCGAGCATTGACCTAAAGCGTCGAAATAACTAACAAATCCACCAAGGGGAGCGGCTTTAGCTGGGTGGACACTGATATTCTGCGACCTTCCAATCCGACATCAGTTCAGTTCAACCCCTGTCCAGCAACAGACGGGCCGAGACTCTTGGGAGTGCCCATCATTGAACCGAAAAATATGGGATTGTCCGGTCTGATTTGCTGATCCAACTGCCTACTCGTCATCATCATCTTCCAAAGGCTTTAAGCCTGTACTACCATCGGCCCTTTTCAGGGCCTTCAAGATTTTCCAAAAGAGTTAAATTTCTGAACGTGTCCCAATTAAAATTCATATCAAAAGATTCTTTTCAGGGCAATCATAGTCATACTAAAGAGTATAAAAAGAGAGAACCCCGCTCAAATTCCTACAAAAAACACAAGCTCCTGCTGCAGTTAACAAATAACATTTTTTATTATATAATACCACGTAGTCCTACGTCGCCATTGCGTACAAACCCATAGGGCTGTCCCTTGTTGTTTTTTTGATTTTCGGATTTTCTTGGAGTTCTTTTCCGAATCTTTTTCAGCAATCCTTTGAATTTATCCTCAGAACACCTTTTAAAACTCTCCTAATTATCTTTTAAATATAGTGCATTTGGTATCCTCCTCACGGTTGAAACGCAAGTCTATTCAGAATAACCTAAGAATCCCACTCAGAACTTCCTTTCCTATCCCAAGATATACCTTTGAATTCACCTCAAATTTTCTTGGGACTATATTTCAATATTATCTTTGAATTTTGCGCTGGATTTTTTTTTAGGAATCCTCCAAAGCGTTTCCTTTGTATTAACGCTTTAAATCCGTTTAACCCTTATGCAGACGGGTATCCATTTTGTTGTTTAAATTATATGTAGGTGATGTTGCTAAAACGCTAAGATAAACAATCTGGTGAAATTTCAAAAGATTTGGACAAAGAAGGGGCTAATCCGGGGCCAAACACTATTTGCAACTCTTAAAAGGCGATGGGATATCCGGGTACCACGCTTTTTACGAAACTCAAACATCGAGATACAACCAAAAATGTTGTACAAAATCGATGGTTTTGAAGAACAGGGCCAAGCAGGTCACCAGGAAAAACCGGGAAAAACCAGGAATTTCATAAGTCCACCAGGAAAATAATCTTGTTTGTAGAATTTAAATAGATTTTAAATACATAAAATTCAAATGTCAAAGTTTCATTTTATAATCAGGTCAAAACTAACCATTTTGTTCAAGCTAAATCTAAACTAAACATTGATGAACAAAATTTACCCTGAGAATTTAGTAAATAACGCCGACGCGTAACTACTTTGAAGTACCTGATCAACATGTTCAATAAAAAAAGTTCTATTTCTAAAACACTTCAGATAAGGCCTTCGAACTTCATGCAAGTACAGTCAAGATTCTTATAGTACGGTTAATAGGGACCGCACTATAGGAACCGGCATTAACGAATACACGTAGCATATGGGATTAGAGCTAATTGGGGGCAAACGCTTGTTGTAGGATAATTTGAAGAGATAACTTCCTGGTGTCTTCTGAAAAGTTATTAAACAGAAAATTTTCCACTTTTTGGGAACATTAAACATCCGGAAAGTCACGAGTTTGATCCTCTGGAAGACCCGGAATATCCGTAAAAGTGGTCAATTCATAAAACTAATCCTAGAGCTCCGTGGTTTTTTTCTAAACCGCTCATAGACGTCTTATCAGAATGAATTTGGAGTTTTGACCTGAAAATGGACCCAGAGAACCATGGGATGGTCCACCGGAAGATCCGAAACATCCGTAAAAGTGGTCAATTCATGAATCTGATCCTAGAGCTCAGCGAATTTTTTGAAACTAAAGATGATGAATTCGAATTGATGAATTGAATGAATTCAGAGTTGAGTTCAGAATATGGACTCTGGAGACTACGAGTTGGCCCAACGGAAGATCCGGAACATCCCTAAAAGTGCTCAATTCATTAAATGATCCTTGAGCTCCACGATTTTTTAGAAAGCACTCATAGACATCTTATCACAATCAAATCGGAGTTTTGACCAGACAGTTTATACTTGGGACCACGGGATGGTCCATTAAAAGACCCGAAGATCATTTAAAGTGATTAATTCATGAAACTGATCCTAGAGCTCCACGGTTGTTTTTTTTCCAAAACCAATCATAAATTAATATTAATAATAACTCAATAAGACAATGTTTTCAAATGGCTTATTGATTAAATTTTGATGTGATGAATTAAAAATATAAACATTGAGGCTAGTCCCTCGTTAACTTGTAACTCCAAAGAAACATCTCCAATAAGTCAAGGGAAATATGTTCATGAAATCCAAGGAATAATATTCAAAAATTCCGTTTAAAGTGTCTAGAAGTTATTACTAATTAAATACCACCTAGAAATCAGTCATGATAATTAATAAAAAAAAAATGTGTCTATGAGCAGTGCTAAAAAACCACAGAGTGGTAAGATCAGTTTTCTTGACCTATCCACTTTAACGGATGTTCCGGATATCCCAGAGGACCATCAATGGACCCTGTGGTCCATTTTCCAGTCACATCTTCGAGTTCATTCTGATGAGTTGTCTATTATTTTCCAAAGAAGCGTTCGTGATCCCCAGGGTCTATTTTCCGATCATAACTCCGAATTCATAATTATAAGACGTCTATGAGAGTTTACGAAAAAAAAATCGGAGTTCTTGGATCAGTTCTATGAATTGAGCCTTTTTACTAATGTTTCGAATCTTTCGGAGGACCATCCACTGCACAATGGTCCCAAAGCCGTATTTAGGAAGACAAAAATGTTTGCGCCCAAACCTTAAGTTTTAGGAATATAGTGTCTTCGGGAAAGTTTCTTCATATTTTTTGGCCGATCTTCAAAGCAATTTTTCTCAAGACACCAAATGTATATCTCTTAATGAGTTATGATTTTTTTAAACAAGCAGGTTAGGATGGCCCCTAAAAAAAAGATTTCTTCGAATATCTTTTCATAAGTTCATTTCTCGTAAAAACTTTGTTTTGGTTACATTTAGAACTTATGATGACGCATATTTTTGTTCAAGCAACCAAGCTGCTATTTTTTTTTTTTTTTTTAAGAAAATGAATGGTGATTTTCTTCGAAAAAATTGTTCTTTTTAAATGACAATGTCTCTTAATGGAGCAAACTGATTATCAAAGTTTTGATTTCATTTAAAAGATAGTTTTTTTTTTTCATTATTGGTGGAAAAAACTGTGAGAGCGTTTTTTGTTTAAAATATTTAATTTTATATAAAAAAATCTTTTTTTTTAGTCAAAAACTAGTCATAATTTTTAAATAAAGGAGATATCAAATTAACGACTTCTGCAAAAATATGCGTCACAAAAAGTTCTAAAAGTATTTAGAACAATGTTTTTACGAGAGTTAGGGTGGCCCCTAGAAAATCGGCTTTCTTTAAATATTGTTTATACGTTGATCACCAATAAAAATATTTAAAGAAATATTTTCTAGGGGCCAATCTAACCTACTTGTTTAAAATAACCATAAGTCATGAAGCATAAGAGATAAAAATTTGATGCCATTAGCAAAGTTGGTTCAAATTGATTGTTCTACAACTTTTTAGAACACTACATTAGGCTATCTCAAGTAATAAAAAAGGTTGAACTTTCAATTCACCAATTTTAAGGACCACCCTAATTTCAAATCTGCTAAAAAAACGAAGAAACTTTCCCCAAGACACCATATACCTCAAAGTGATGGTTTTGGTGTTAATATTTTTGTCTTCATAAATACGGCTTTGGGACCATTGTGCATTGGTCCCCAGGGTCAATTTTCTGGTCATAACTCCAAATTAATTCTGATAAGACGCCAATGAGTGCTTTCGAAAAAAGCGGACCTCTAAGCTCTTCTTAAACTGATTTTTTTTATGGGTGTTCAGGATCTTCCTGGTGAACCATCTCGTGGTCCCAAAGGTCAATTTTTCGTTTATGCGTTCTTATTCCGGTCACAACTTCAAATTTATTCTGATAAAACGTATATGAGTGTTTTCAGAAAATTCACGGAGCTCTAGGATCAGTCTCATGAATTAACCACTTTAACGGATGTTCCGGATCTTTCGGTGGACCATCTTGTAGTCCCCAGAGTCCATATTCCAGTCAAAACTCCGAATTAATTGCGATAAGACGTCTATGAGCGGTTTCGAAAAAACACGGAGATCTAGAATTAGTTTCATGAATTAACCACTTTTCAGGATGTTTCGGATCTTCCGGTGAACCATCCCGTGGTCTCCAGAGTATATTTTGCGAACACAACTCTGAATTTATTGTGATAAGACGTGGTTGAGTGGTTTCAAAAAAATCCGCGGAGCTAAAGGATCAGTTTCA